GAAACCCTACGGACGAACGCGTGCTAGTAGAGACGACGATTGCTTTGAATTTTGTACTTGCAGAATTGAAAGTCGCGGAGCGGAGGAGAGACTCGAATCGGGCATTTTCGACGTTTCTGTCCGAGCCGATGGACTTATTGGGCTTATTAGGTTAATGGAGGGCACGTGATACGCGTGTCAGTCGGTAATTAAGCCGCAAAAAGAAGAGAGAAGGACGGAGAAAAAGTTGAAGAAATGTCACTGAAATCTACAATGAAGTAGATTATAACACTGGGGAACAATCTGTTAGACAAAGATTTATGTCGAATAATTAGGGGCCCCTCGTTACGAATGTACTGTTAAATTTTCCAGATTAACTCTAGTTTTCAACATATGTTTTACAAACTTTATGTGGTACTTATTGTATGTTCTGTTGTTTAATTCGTTAATAATGTTTTACAAAGTCGGTAATATTTTTTTCTTTCTTACAGTTTGTGGCAAACACAGTTTGTCTGACGGATATCCGCAATCCACCAATTAATACGTTCCATGCGAGATCGACGTTGTTTTTTGAATCATCTCTCATTAAATTAATAATTTCAACATTTAAAAAATGTCATAAACTGTCGGTCATTAAACAAGGAAATAATCGTTTTGAAATATAACCTAAGAAAGAAATTCTTTTTCATTTTCGTTACTAACAAGATAATAAAGCCACAAGAATTCGAAAATCAGAATTGTTGTTCAAACAAATGATTTTCGCAAAATGATATGTGACAAAAAAATTCGTCATTAAAAAAAAAACTAATTTCATCAATTTATATGAGAGCTGTATCTTTAGTAATTTCCGAGATATTTTCTCGAAATAAATTCCGGAGTCCCAAATTTAAGGTTATTTTACACTCCTTCAGCATGGACGATTGATAATAAAAAAAAAAAATACGTCGCCCTCTCCTCGAATTTCTCTAAAATCACTAGCTAATAACAAAAAAAAAAATGTGTCAAATATATTTTTCGATAGCTACGTTTAAGCCAAATTTCGAAATTAATGATCGACGTCAATACATGCCCTCGTCAAAATAAAATCGTAAAGATCATCAGGCATTGGACGTCTTAATGTGTCGCCCTCTTCTCGAATTTCTCTAAAATGACTAGCTAATAAACAAAAAACGTGTGAAATATTTTTTCCGAGAGCTATATTCAAGCCAAATTTCGTCGAAATCGGTGATCGACACTTCAGTGCGTTCTCTCAGTATTAGACATATTTAACATGTCCTCGAATTTCTTTAAAATCATTAGCAAACGCTTTCTCCAATTTCCCAGTTTTTCGACTCGACTGACTTTACGACCGAGGCTGTTCCATCACCGGGAACATTGTGTGTGTGTCGCGCGGCGAAACGCGGAAGCGAGACGAGCCAGCGCCGCCAGGGGCGTCTCGTTATCCGCAAATTTCCGGCCGAGTTGTTTACCGTTTTAACCAACGACCCTTTAATTACTTCAACAACTCACGATCCACGAGGTTGACCCGCGTCTAACAGCCACTCCCGTAGAGCGTGTCACGTTAATGAAGTTTTCTTTCGTTTCAAGAATTCTCTCGTCAATCGGTGAGAAGCGGATTCGGAAGAGAAGAAAAAAAAAAACGCCAGCACTCTTGAGAAGAACGCAGGCGGCTTGCTAGCTCCAAAGATACCTAATCCGACGAACGAGAACTTGGAAATAAAGTTTGGGAAATTCAATCCTGGCTAGTTGCATCTCGCTCGAGTGACGAACTGTGTTCCCATTGTAAATTCGCAGGAAAGTGGTAGAATCTCTTGCAGGGTCTCTGCAAGTTCTTTTTCTCCCCTTCCTTCTTCTGGCATTAGAGGTTTAAGTACTAGGCATTAACGATCAAAGGATTGATTGACTTCGGAAAGTAATTCGATGGTGGTGAATTATACAGGGTAATAAGACTAATTGGAACGTTCCTGAAAGGAAAAGGGACGAAAGAGAAAGAGTAAAAAAGGAAAGTGGGAGAAGAAGCGGATAGAGAGAGAAAGAGAGAAAGAAAGCGGGTTGGTGTTCGATCGAAGTGTCGAAGGGAGGGCGCCACCTTACCGACCCAAGTTTCCATTGGCTCCCGCGGATCCGTACACTTGTCAGTTGTCGCTCTGTCTTCGCAAATTTTGTTTGTCGAATTCCCGAGACGAAGGAGAAAAAATTCCTTAAATAGAAAAGGAAGGGTTTTACAAGAATTTTAGCAACAGGAAAAAACATTTTTGCCCGAGAATGAAAAAAATATCAGCGAAACAAAAGAAGAGAACGCAAAGACGTTTGTATGTAATAATAAAGAAGCGGCAAAAGTTGGCTAAAAGGAAGACCTGCAATTAGAGGCGAGAAATAAGAGGAACGTGAAAATCCCGCGAATTGAGTTTCCAACCGGTGACAAAATGTGACTTCCGACGTTCTCCAAGGGACCGGTTACCTCGCGAAGCGACGAGAGAGCAAAATCTGCCGGTGACACGTCGGTGAAGAAGAGCCCCCCCTCTCCGACATTTCGGCGTTCACCGACGGAATATTTACACGAACAGCCGCGGCACACACTCGTGCACTTTGATTCTTTCTGACACTAATTGCGAGCCGCGTCTGACTGGCTCTTCTCGGCCCCAAATTAATTAATGGCATACCAAATGACGAGTCGCGCAGAGATTCGCCCCCTCCCCCTGCCGAGTCCTCGTTGTGCCGGGGAAAAAGCGAAATAATACGGTGTACGATCGTGCCGCGAATATCAATGCTTCCATCGTTGTCATCAAGAAGCGGGATGTCGTCGTGTGCTCGTTAATGATGTGCCATCCTACGTTATGCGATATAGCTTTTTAACCTCACTTTTTTTTTCCTTTGCCTTCGTTTTTCTTCCCTCTTTCTTTCTCTTTTTTTTTTATTTATTTTCACAGTCGCAAAGATGTGGGATAAATTGTTGCAGATTTAATCATTGAAATGATCGCATAAAGCTTGAGCCAATTTTTCGCACGCCACGACAGAAAGATCCATTCTGTCAATAGTTTTGGTTCGTTACGATCAGAGTGGTAACCGACTGATATCCGATACTTTAACGCGATAATGATATCAGATACTTTATATATAAGTACAGATGATCCGTTTTTGCGTTCACTATGTTTTCAGGACGATCACTAGGAGATTTCCTTGAAGAAGGAATTTTTAATATTAATTTGTGAGACGTGACAACTTCAACAGTGAAATATATGAATTATTATGTTTTTAAATTTATACATATTTAAACATATTTAAACATATTTATATTTACGAACTAATTTGCTCGACAGAAGGATTTAAAAAGAGAAGAGAAATAAATATAGAGATCTTCCAGATGAAAGAAATATAGCGAGGAGGTAGCCATATTTTACTAGCGATAGACGCATCGGTTGAACAAATGCAATTATTTAATGCGTTCAATAATAAATTAAATTTCAAGCCAATAGGTAATTCTACGAATTACGTTACAATCCATTTGTAACTATTTCAAATATTAATTGATTAACTTCAATATAATTTACGACTAAATTATAATTTATAATTCACCAATAAATAATTTTTCTATTACAGATTAATCATGTAAATTAAGTGAATACGTCTACTATCGAACATCGTCCCTTGAAAATCTTCTCTGAAGCGAATCGAACAATTCGAACAGAACTTTCGCCATTGTTCTTTTAAAAAATCGTCGTAAAAATGTTTAACAATGGCAACAAGATATTTAACTTAGTATTTCAGCACTTTCCTGCTCGTAAACATTTCACAAAACGATCCGTAATCCAATACGGTTTGTACGATAAAAACGAGAGAAGAACATTATTTCTCCGCTTTTGAGTATTTAACTCCTAGTTCGATCACGTATTCACAGCGAAAGCAGAAGAAACGATCCAACGGAATTAATTACGCGCGATCGTCAGCCACTTCGAGGGAGTAAGATACACTCGGAGAGTCAATTGGCTGGTGGCCAAATGGACTTTTATCTACGCTTCACTTACGCAGTACCTATTCAAAATCAATGAAACAGTTCGCTATTGATTAATCGTTCGGCATCGATCCAGCAGAAACAATGGTATCTTTCGTTACTGGTAAATTACCGATTGTTACGCATTTATGAAAAATGTGCACAGATATGCAAAAATATCTACATAATTATATGCAAACATATGTAATTATATGACATTTGTTAGGTAAAACAATTTTTTAGCCAGATTCCATGTTTTTTATTTAGAGTAGCAGTCAAGCAACAATTGGCAAAATTATTTAAAATTAAATTAAATATTCACATACATTTGAATAGTAAAGATTAAAGTTCTGTAATAATAGGTTAGGGTACGCTAGAGTTAATACAGAAAAAAGTCGAGGTGGAAAATTTTTCTGTTGGGTAAAATTTTCTCATGAGTATAGATCTAAAAACTGTACTCGAGGTCTTTAAATTGTGCAATGCGGAAGAATATGTTGTCACGCGTGCACGCGCAATGGTAGCCCCCATTGTCGCGACACGCGATCGACCTTGATCCACTTTTTTCCTCCTCAGGTACTTCTGGTTCCTTTCGGTTCGAAGGAAACACGCGAGAACGCGATAGTAAATTTCATAACACGCTAACGAAACGCTCCGTAGTTCCTTAAGATTCGTGACACCGAGTTAATGACATACAAGACCCTTTCTTCCAACTTCCACCACCACTCGTGGTCACTTCCTTCGTCCCTTGTCATTCGTATTCACACATTGAAAAACTGCGTCGTTCTCAAAACAATTTTATGTAAACGAAAATAACTTTATTGTAACAAAATTCAATAACTATCGTCGAACAATCGTTTTATTTACAACTTACAAAACACACTAAACAGTCAAGCATCCTCAATGCTCATCTTTGTTTTTCTTCTCCTGAGACCCTTCATTCTCCGAGAGTGCACTTGTGATACCGACTTTCTTCAATTCAGCTACTAGTTCACCGTTTTTATGCATTTCTAAGAGGATATCACATCCCCCCACGAATTCACCATTTATGAATACCTGAGGTATCGTAGGCCAGTTAGAGAAATCCTTGATACCTGGACATCATTATTTAAATTACACATTATTTTAGTTTCATTTATATTTGCATCAGGGATCGAAACCAACAGGTTCCTTCTCGTTTTTAAAAAAATTCTGCTCGAACCTGTCTTCTATCTTTTGTGGAATTTTTATAAAAAAAAAATAAATTAGAAACACTTTTGAACAGTGTTTTCATGGAACATATATTTTTAGAATCTGTACAATAAAAATTCTCATGGAAATAAGTTATTTTGGAACATTTAATCAAAGGTCCATTTTTATATTACTATATTACTATAGTGTCAGTATTTGCTATCGAGAACCTTTTTAATAATGATGAACAAGTTGTGTGACAAAAAAATCTTTATCCTTACATTTTATAAATTCTATTTTGTCTGAAACTTTTATTCTTAAGAACGAAGAGTTTATTTGTTCTCATCAGGATTTGTAATGCAAGAACACTTTTCAAAGAAATTCTACAATCCATGTCTCAAATATAACTCATTTAAAAGTTCCTTGACTTTTTCAATCCCTGATTTATATACTTTGTCATTTCTCAATACTTTTGTTATTTTTTATTTATTTTTATTGTACCAAAGGATTTCTATCCATGAATAACAGATAGTGGTGGAATTAAATTGAATTCACTGGGTACAAAATTTAGTTTTAACACTGATCATCCAAAGAATATTAACCTTGTCTAAGTGATTCATCTTCGAGGACATCATGAGCGTCATACTTGACATCGTGCATCCTCAATATCTGTACAACAGCATTGCTAAAGCCGCATTTAGGACTATCCGGAACACCTTTCATAAATACAACGACTTTGTTTTTCTGTAAAATGTAGATGACATTTATTTGAAATCATCCAACAATCTATGCAGTGTTAGCTCTATGTGTACTTTCAATTGATAACTGTTTTAATCGGTTTATGAATTTTACAAAGATCAATATTACGCGATTCGACGTAAATCAACAATAGCAAGTAGACGTAGTGAAAAACGAAATCATAATATATTTCATTCATTTGAAAATAAAATCATTGACAAATGTAAACGTACCTTGACGAGGTTAGTAATCTTATCAACAGTCGTTGAAAAACTTCTGATAGACCTGTACAATCTAAACGGAGTCATTTTTAGGCAGTGTCGTTGAAGACTAGATGACAAAACTTGAATTTTCTTAAAAAAACAACACAATAGGTTACCCGGTCAACACATCACTCAAGACTAGATTACGCCATATTGGTTTTTCTCTTTTGCTTGAAGCGGCTGATGGCGCCATCTGTAGGCAGACAAAAATAGCTCACAAACTAATTTTAACCCGACAAAAATTTTTATAATCCTCGTTCCTAAGCGTCGTTATAAATCTCGCGAAATATATATATATATATATATATATATATATATATATA